AAAAAGGGAATTTAGGATTTCCAAAAGCCACCTAAATCCCATTTTCAAAGGTGAAAGCCTAAGCCTCATGGGGGTTTTAGTGCACAACAGGCAAGGAGGAAGGTGGAGACTAGAATGGAATGGCATAGTTCTGGTGGAGTCAAGCAAGGGAGAAAGTGGGGATGCCCAGGCTTTGGGCAGTGGCAGGTGGAAGAGACAACAAGAATAAAGAGCAAGGAGAAAGAAGAGGGAATGGACACTGGAAATAAGCAACCAGCAAATTGTTTGAAGGAAGCTAGTTTACCCCACCCTCACTGTAATACCACCAGTGAGAGTCATAATGTTGAGTGTCATATAGAGGTGATCTTGTACTAAGGGCAATTATGACAGGATTTAATGCAGCCATAGTCTGTAGCTCAGTGACATTACTGTGAATCAAAGCAAGAGGAGTATTATAACAGAGAGCTCTATGCTGAGGTGGGTATTTTCTATTTTGAAAGCACCCAGAACACTTACCCTTTTGCACAGTGCTGAGCTATAGCTCAAAACTGACAGCTCTGATATAATGGAATAAGTTTGTGCAGCTCCCGTCTTGTGACTTGCATAGAGTCATATGCTCATTAGAGAAATCCATTCCGGCTGGCAGCTCCTGCCACTGGAGCCCAGGGCATACCATGCTGCTGCTGTCAGTATGCAGCATTCAGAATAGCAGCTGGTTTTTAAAAACCCTGTGTGTTCCACCTTTAATACTTTCTGGTAGAGATGTAAGCGACTAGTTGACTAATCGACTAGCTGATAAGCAGAAGCTTATCGGATAGTCGACTACTGATGCAACTAGTCGCTTCCCCTGCTTGCTGCCTCTGTCACAGAGAGGCAGCAAGGGAGGGAGAGCAGGAGCAGGTGCTGTGGGAGAGCCAGCTTAAAAGCTGATTCCCTCCAGCACTGTCTTCCCGGGGGGCAGGGGAGGGAGAGGCATAGTGGGAAACGGCACGAGCGGGGACTGAAACAGTCTCCAGTTGTGCTGCTTCTGCTGCAATTCTGCTTTTGAAATGTAGAAGAGATTCCGCCATGGCTCTTGTACATTTCAAAGGCTCAGGTACCACAGGGAGCTCAGGGCCCAGTGGGGGAGTCTCCCGCTGATCCCTCACTCTCTGCAGAGTTTCCTTGTGAAATGTACAAGATCCCCAGTGGGGAATCAAAAGGAAGCCCTATGCTGGGCTCTTGCTACAATTCAAAGGCAGAGGCGCCTTTATAGACTAGTCGAATAGTCGATGGAAATCCCATTGACTATTTGATTAGTTAACCAATCTAAATTTAACATCCCTACTTTCTGGCTATTGAGGTGTTAGTAGAGCAGACCAGGAAGTGCCCTTTTATAAGGCATCTACTTGAACAAAGTAGACACAGATATACACCATCAGGAAGTGGTGCTGTATCTTTATCTTAGCGTTGCCTTGATTTTTTTAAATAGATGTTTAATAGAAGTACAAGTTGTTGGCTTGGTTTTGGGAGTGGGGGGTGGTGGTGGTGACTCAAGAGGTAGTTAAGTTCTGGCTGTGCATGTGCTGCAATTGTTACTTACAGTGCCCAACAGATCCTTTGATTTCTGCAATGGACTATTACAATACGCTGTGATGGTCTAACCAGGGAATGCTGCACGATAAGGGTGATCAGTTTTACAAGCTTCATGCAGTGTCTGTATACAACACATACAGATGTTTACATTTACTACAGTTTTAAAACATCCAGTTAGTTTGTGGGCCCTCCATAATCAAGCTAATTCATTCTATAGCTAATGTGTTCTTAAATCCTCTGGGCCAAATCCTCCATTCTATAAATTAGTGTAGGGCCACCCCAATCAGAAGAGCTGCATTATTTTACACTGATTGTGGATATGGCTCATGGCCTTTGCTTTGAAATATGAGAGAGTCACTAAGAATACATAGAGGGATTTTGCTCAGCCTTTAAAATTTAGATTCAAAGGCATCGAAGGTGCGATCAATGTGAATGGGATTAAGCTGTTAAAACAAAGGTCTATATTATGTTGTTCAAGTGTATAGTACAAGATTCGGCAGCTACAGAATGTATGTAATGAAGCCTGCCATTATCAAAAAAAAGTCTCCCTCATTTTCCCAGGTGAGGACTCTAATTAACAGTAATGTACATGTAAGTGGAGTTAAGAGCTTTGGGGATCCATTTTTAAAGCATGAGCAGCTCTGTAGCCTGATTCCAACCTCTGTCCCATCTGACACTGAACTTCACTGAAACCAGTAGGGGTGCCACTCCAGATTTACACCTGTGTGTGTTGTTTTGCTTAAATATTTTCTTTCTTTAGTCTCAGCTGGTAGAGCAGTTAGCTCAGTGTATGTTCTGCTAGGCAGCCATTCCATGAGACTAAAAATATTTTGCTACGTATCCCCATGACACTTCTGATCTTTATATTATATGAGCTATAGATATTCTTAATACCCATGATCACATAGTGGTAAAACATGGTAGGCACACAATACAATATTTTGTTTATAAGGGCAGATTCCAGAGATCTCATATGTTATTTCCCTCTTGATTCATCTCGGTATTTGAACAGAGTCTGTGCCTTATCAGAGTAATTAATCTTACTGAGCCATCAAGAAAACATACAATTCCAGATGGCTTTTCACAAATTCTTCAGCATCCTCACGCCTCCTCCATTCCTCTCTTTGTTCTCCACTGCAAGCTAAGCCACCAGTTTCCCACTGTGACACAATTGAGCACATTCATCCAGGGTACATCTACACTGCAATACTATTCCGAATTAACTAGCGCTATTCCGAAATAACTTAGGGTATGTCTACACTACCACCCTAGTTCGAACTAGGGTGGTAGTGTAGACATACCCGGAGAGAGCAACTTCACTTAGAAACACTGAGGAGGCCCTCTCCACCATTGTAACTTAATCTGTGAAGACTACAGCTATAGCTATGGGGAGGTAGTAGCTTTTTCTGGAGAACTAAGGTTAGTCCTCTGGATGAATAGGTACCCTCATCACCTTGCTACTCTGTCCCGGCCTGCAATGACTCATGAAGGTAAAAGGGTTCTTCCACATTATGGATCTCACTGGAGTGGAATAAATTTGTGAATCCAGGGAACTCCAACCTGACTACTTGAAGGTTGTAGAGTTACAGGACCGCTTGGGAATAGTGACCATAATATAATAACAGTCAACATTCCTGTGGTGGGAAGAACACCTCAGCAGTCCAGCACCCGCCCGGCTTTATGCAAATGAAGCCCGGGAAATTCAAATCCCGGGCTTCATTTGCAACTCCGGTTGCCTACATTACCACCCTAGTTTGAACTAGGGTGGTAGTGTAGACATACCCTACGTCCGCAACTACACAGCAGGCAGTTATTTTGAAATAGTGTCAAAATACTGTCAAGCGGAAGAACTGCTTACTGTGACTCTGGTAACCCTCATTGTATGAGGAATAAGGGAAGTCGGAGGAAGAGTGCTCTATTTCAATATAAATGCTATGTAGACGCTCCTATTTTGAAATACCGGTAAGCTTTTTCTAAATAAGCTACGCAATTGACATAGCTCAATTTGCATAGCTTATTTCAAGTTAAGCCCTGCAGTGTAGATGCATCCCTAGTGTTCTGTATTAATGGGGAACACAACAGATAATGTTCATTTTGAAATGTTAACTTCCGTATGTGGTAAAGTAGTTGCCTTGGTGTAGATTAGTAGGTTTCTTTTTTTATCTCTAGCCAGCAGTAGATTTCTTCACTTAGTGGGGGAACCTCACTGTAGTTCCCTTAATTGTTGTACAGAACAAGCTCTGGTACAGATTAGCGATGTAATAGCGTAGTCGATTAACTGATTAACCGATAAGCAAAAGCTTATAGGTTAATGCTATATACCACACGCATTTTCCCCCGCCCCCTGGAAGCAGAGCTGGCCCAAGGTACGGGCCAACCGGGCTACTGCCTGGGGCACCCCATTGTAGAAGGCGCCGCGTGGGGCTGCCGGGCAGGGTGGGGGCGGCACCACACATGCTCCGTGCGCCCGGGGTGGTGCCATGCATGCGTCGGGCGCCTGGGGACAGGACCACGCATGCGCCGCATGCCCGGGGCAGGGCCACTCATGCACTGCACACCCAGGGCCGGGCCACGCATGCGCTAGGTGCCTGGGGCCAGAGCTGTGCATGCGTCGCACTCCCGGGGGTGGCGCTGCGCTCCGGGGCCCTGGGCACGTGAACAGCTCAGGCCAGACCTGCCTAGAAGTACATTTTTTAACAGGCTGGCCAGCAGCATGGCTCAGTCCTGGCTTGTGCCAGGCCCAGAACCTACTCCCGCTGTGGCTCTGCATTTAAAGTGTATAAGGAGATAGGTGGGCAGGCAGTTCTGAGGCAAGTTTCCCCTCCCTCCCAGCTCAGTTCTGGATTACGCTGGGTCTGGGAGCTCAGAACCCTCTGGACAGGGGCTACTGCCACCCCACGCTGCCACCTCTGTATCAGAGGCAACAATGCTGGGCAACAGGCAGCCATGAGGGGAGCTGGTTTTTAAACCGGCTCCCCTTGCAGACCAATTCCCACCTGGCACCCCACACTGCTGCCTCTGATACACTGCTGCCTGTACTAGCATCGACAGTTAAATTGAATATGTTTAATTTAAAAATAATTCGCTCCTTTCTATCCAGATAAACCTTTAACATGGACATTCACAGAGAACTCGAACAATTCACAGTTTCTAATTATGAATTCGTGAAGCAAAGCTAAGTTTTTAAATATGACATTCATTGATTGAACATGAGATTCTGTAAAGACCTTAAAGAAAGGAATCCCTTTTGTATCTTCCATCTCCATATTTATCTTCCAAAAAATCAGTGAGCTTCTGAAACATAGCTGCTTGTAAGTCACTGAAAGCACTTCAAGAAGAATAGGAGCAGCATGGCACAGCGCCATATTCATTTAAATTGAATGCCTTGCAGAATGAGATATGGATAAGCACCTTGGCATAACACACCCATTTCTGTAAATTTACAGTTTGCAGCAGCCAGCAATGCAAAAAGCAAGAAGAAGCAGAAACTACAATTGACCAGAAAGAGCAGACTCAATGAGCTATGAGAATATAGATGTGTTTGAAGGCTTCTACACATCCCACTCGACGGTAAGACAATTTTCTGCCATTGCTGCCTTATTATAGACCATTGAGTGCCAGTGCAATAGTTCTGTCCTAGTAATTTGTGGCATATGGTGTGCTTGTAACTAGGGTAAATACAGAAGAAAAAAAGGCCTCAGTTTTCAGAGGTCAGTGACAGATGTGATGTGGATCCGATATTTTTTTGAATATACCTCATTGCAGGATATCTTTAAAACAGAAGAGAAACATACCTCTAACCTGTCCTTTGTTACAAAACATTCCAAACAAAGTGGTGAAGTTCTATTTCACTTTTATAATTGTAAGTTAGTGAAACATGGAAATGATAAACCCTGGAAATGTTTCTATATAAATAGGTGGCAAAGACTTTACATTTCTTGCATTTTTGGTTTGCGGTAAAAATGCTTTGTCCTTCATTTTGGATCATTTCCTGCCCTACAACACTGGCTCCCTCATTTGGGTATTTGCATAAAAGATACAGAAAGGGGGAGAGTTTTTTTCTAAAACTTCTACAATACTTGCTACTGAAAGATACATTCAAGAAAGGAAAGGGAGCTGATTGAAGTACATAAGTCTTCTAAAATGAAACACCACATCTACATCTACACTGGCAGCTTCTTGCGCAAGAACTGTTTTGCGGAAGAGTTCTTGCGCAAAAAGTCTTCCACAAGAGTGCGTCTACATTGGCATGTGCTTTTGTGCAAGAGCGTCTATGGCAGTGTGAACACTCTCTTGCGCAAGAAAGCTCTGATGGCCATTTTAGCCATAGGGGTTTCTTGCGCAAGAAATTCATGTTGCCTGTCTACACTGCCCTCTCGCGCAAGAAGACTTATTCCTTGTGGGGAGAATAATAACTCTTCTGGAAGAAGCCCTGTTTTCCGACGCTAGACTGTAAATTTACTTGAGCAGGAATACACGTGCAGTATAGACACCCAGCAAGTTTTTGCGCAAGAACAGCTTGTGCAAGAAGCCACCAGGGTAGACATAGCCCACGTGTGTCTCAAGAGCATCCGTTAGTAGACTGGATGCCCAAAAGATTGGCAATATGAAACGAACTGTCCATCGCTATCAATAGGCAACTAACACAAGCCTGGATCAGATTCTAAGTGGAAAAATAAACATCAGCATCTGCAGTTATTCAGTAAAGTACTTGTGGATTATTGATCTCAGCCCAGTTTCTTGGAAAAAGGTAACCAGTTACCACATGACCTACAATCACAGCTTTCCTTACTTTGGATTCATGTTGGCTATCCTGGGTATGGAGATCAAATTATGAGGGTCAGTTTTTGCACGTCATTGTTGAGGCACATAACTGATGTTGGGAAGCTTGCATTGCTGCTGTACAACTGTCCCTATTTTTCAGATCAATATAGAATTCCATTTTCCTGTGCTGTCAGTCTCGCCCTTTTTGTAAGCTCCAAGTTCACAAAAGAAAAATTAAAAATTAAAAACTAAAGAGAGCACCTTTATTCTAAAGGAAGGAAAGCAGTGGACCATGACACTGCGTGTTAATACTACTGCTGTATAATTCAAAATGAGAGGAGCAAGAAACTCTGAAGTGTTTATAAAATGAAAAACTGAAGTCTTGTATTCAATTTAGAAAATGAGAAAGACAATCAAAGTCTTGAGTATGTGGGCGACTCCAGTTAAACATGCAGTATTATTGTTATGCAGTGGTGTATACGAAGATGCAATACAAAGAAACAGCTGCAGAGAATACAAAATCTCTTCTGCCTTGTGTTCAGTAGAGATTCTTAACTTTCTATGATCCACTAGCTCTGCCCAGCAGTCTAATGAGACACCTCATGCCCACATACACAGTACTCTGAGCGAGAAACATGCATGCCAAATGTTTTTTTTGGATCAGCAAGTCCTACATGCTATTCTACTCTGCATTTACTCAGTCTCCACCTTCAGTTTAGTTCCTGACTCTGCCACAGGCATTGGCTACGTCTACACTGGCCCCTTTTCCGGAAGGGGCATGTTAATTTCAGCTATCGTAGTAGGGAAATCCGCGGGGGATTTAAATATCCCCCGCGGCATTTAAATAAAAATGTCCGCCGCTTTTTTCCGGCGTTTAGAAAAGCCGGAAAAGAGCGTCTACACTGGCCCCGATCCTCCGGAAAAAGCGCCCTTTTCCGGAGGCTCTTATTCCTACTTCATAAGAGC